TTTTTTACATGAGATGAAAAAATGTAATGTAAAATAAAATCATAAAATTATAAAATTATAAATAAAATTTTTAATTAATTATTTATTGATTATTTCAGATAAAAAATAAATTATATTAAAATTTAATAAAAAAAATTAACAATATTATAATTAATAAGTGATCTAAATAAAATAAAATAGATAGATAGTATGAATCAATAAATTAATTATATATGTCTTAGGACAAAACTTTTTAATAAGATAAAGAAATCATTGAATAGTAAAAAATACATAAGAATCTAGTGACAACTTAGTTGTTTTTATTACAAATTATAATGAAATACTTTTGAAATATAACTTAACGAGTCTAAACTAATAATTAATTAACATAAGTTAAATAATAAAATAAACTTTCAAACAATATCTAAGGCGTTAGAATAAACCCATCTTAAAAATAATTACTCAACATTAAGTAAATAGATAAATATAATAGGAAAATAAAACCAAAGTCTTCATACTACAATTCTTTTATGTAGTCCGAATTTTTAATTTTTATACATTATTGGTAGATTTCAGTCCTGATTTCAAACACATTATTCTCACTTGTCTCAATGAATTACTAGGACTAATATATATGGTTGAAAATCTTGAGATGTATTATTTCCAAATCAACTTGAAATTACAGCAAAAGTTTACTTGTAGCTTTAGATATGTCACAAACAGTACACGAAGGTTTAACTTGACAAATTTGACAAGATTTGTCTGATAACTTAGACCTTTTAAAATAATATGTTCTTGAACTCCATTTGATTTGAAACGTTACCATAATATAATTGCACATGTCTAATATTTATCTGTAAAATTATAGCTCGATTCAATATACGATTTGATAGATATATCTGATCTTGCAAAATTGATTAGCTAAATTTTTAAAGTTAGATTCAAACCTGAATTTGTTCACATTATAAATTTAGTAAAATCATAAAATCAGATTGAGTTTACCATTTTTACTATTTTTATCTGGTTTGCACAAGTCAATTCTAATTTTACTAGTTTTTGAGTTTTTAGTTTGATTTTATATGTTTAATACATGTTGACTTGTATAATCATATGATTTTACTAGTTAACTTGTAATTTTGACAACAATGACCTAAAGTCTAAAATAAAATGAGTTTCATTTTAATTTTTTTTTTAATATTATCTATTAAACTCGAGTAATTGAGATGATTATTTTATAATCTAGTTAACTTGATCAAACTTAACTAAATTAAAATTAAAGATTTTTTTTAAAAAAAAAACCTAAAACTAAGCAAATGATAACAAAAATAACCAGGTAACCCACAAGCCATATCCTAAACCAATTCAATCCCTAGATCATGTTTTATAATTATAAACGTAAAATGTCTATAATTCAATTCCCAAGAACAATTAAGTGGAATCCTAACGTATTTAGCAAAAATACATATTATATGGGTTTTTCATAATAGTAATATATATAATTTATTATAGATTTCCGTGATGAAATTATTATTTTACCCATCAATCTTTTATTTTTAAAGCTTTGCTTGAGGGTGAAATAGTATTTTCCACGTGAAAAAATAGTCTGTATAAGATTTATTAGGAATATGTTAATGTGTTTTTATTTTGAATGTAATATAATGATTGAATTTTCTTTAAAAACAAAGTTTTAATATAACCATTCTAAAAGCTTTCTGGACATTTTCTTTTTTCTAGTGCACGATAAAAATACTTGATTGCCCCTTGCACCATATTTTTTTAGCTTTGTTTTAAGGGTTTTTTTGTATTTTTATATAGGCTTTTTTTGTTGTATTTGCAGTGAGCTAGGGTTTTCTATTTTCTTTTAACACAAATCTAATACTATGAAAAATAAAAGTTGTCAAGCTCATTGGATCAACATGAAGGCGTATCATCTCCACCCGTACCATTTGATCGATGCGTGAGGTGCATTACGGTGATCGTACCTCGCCTTCCATGACGACTTTATAAAAGTCTAATTGTTCTCTTCATGGTAGTCTATCGTATGTTATTAGTGGAGCTATGGTTAACCTTCAATCAGACTTTTTTTTTCTTATCCTATTTTTTTCTCTTTTTTTTTGTCAAACTTTAATTTTATCCGTTGAATATATTTTATCTTCTACTTTGGTCCCTATTCTTTTTATTGCTAATTGCTTTATTTTATTTTGAATCATTTTTTTTCAATTGCATCACTCATATTTGATTCAATTCAATTTTTTTAGAATTTAACCCTCATTATTTTGATTTTTTTTATTTATCCTTAATGTTTTTCTAATTAATTTCTTTCAATTTGATCATTTGAGTCTATCTTATCTCCTAATTTGGTCCTTTTTTTCTTAATTGCTAATTGTTTTATTTTGTTTTGAATCATTTTTTTCTCAATTGCATCCCTTATTAGGAAGGTTCAAAAAAATTGACCAATCGATTAAACCAAAAAAATTGAGAAAAAATTAATTGAAAAAACTGAATAAAAAATAAAAAAACCCACCCCGTTCGGTTCGATTCTAGTTTAAAAAAGCTTAAAACGATTAAACTAGACCAAACCAAATCGATTTAAAAAAAGATATAAAAAGAATCATCATTAACCTTAAATCACTTATCCTCTTAATTTCTAGTCGTTAACCCCCTCTTCCCTTTCAGCCTTTCTCTTTCCATTCCCGGAACCTTAAATTACTTTTTTCCTTTCCAGTTGCCACTTCCCCTCAAGCCTTCCCTTCCCTTTTTTCTTTTCCCTTTTCCCTTCCTCTTTCCCATCCCAAAACCCTAAAACACCTTTTTCCTTTCCAACCACCACCGCCCCAAGCCTTCCCTTCCCTTTTCCCCTTCTAGTTTCACAATCCAAATGCAAGGGAACTGTTATTCAAGAAATCATGACTTTGATAGTTATACAGTATAACTTATACTAGTTACATCCTTGTGCTGCGCGAAGGCAAGCTTTGAGATTCTCTACATACCCCAAAAGAACCAAAGATCAGAAAAAAAATTATAGTCAATCAGCTTACTTCGGGACCTCCCTTTCCCCTTTTCCTTCCCCTTCCCAGCTCCTATGTGGAAGACTTTGATTGCTGGTTATTTTTTTTTATTGTTTTTCTTAAATTTTTAAGTGGTTGCTGTGATTAATAACTTAGATTGATATTTCATGTCAAATTTTTCCTTTGATTTAGTTCAGTGATGAAGATTGATCTGGTTTTTTATGGTTTTTATGCTAAAAAACCAACCCGACCATAACAAAACCAATTCAGTTTGAATCGGTTCTTGGTTCGATTCGAGTTATATTCATAAGGAATATTATTTTTCGGTTCAGCTAATTTTTTGGGTTAAAACTGGACCGAACTAGACCGTGAACACCCATGTCCCTTATATTTATTCAATTTTTTTTTTTATCTTAGTCCTCGTTGTTTTGGTTTCTTTTTATTTAATCCTCAATACTTTTTTATTATTTTCTTTACAATTTAATTCCTTAATATTTTATTTCATTTAATTTGTGTTATAAGTTGTAACCCCGTTCCTTTTATTTCTTTTTGCTTTTATTTCATTTTCAATTTTATTTTTTAATATTTTTTATAATGAGAAGATTTGATTTCGTTATTTTTTTCATTATTGCCTTTTATGGGCAAATCCTAGCATTATAAATTGGGTGGTGAATTTTAAAAATTAGCATGAGTTGATTCTAATTTTTTTTATGTATTTTGTTTTTATTATTTTTTTGCATGTTTCATTATCTTTTATTATGTTGTTTGAAAATTTAACTTAATTATTTTTTTAGTTTTTTTATATGGAGTTATTAAGATGTTTAAAGGTTTTTTGTGTTAACATGTATTTACTTACTTAAGGTTTGTTTTTTTCACCATTTTTTTTTTACATTAAAGTTTTTTTAATCTTTCCCCAAGATAAGAATAGCCCGCTAAACAATTTGTTTTTTGAATGCGCCATAGATCGAAGACCAAGAGCATAACTAGCCTATTTTGTTTTGATTTTTTTCCCTCCTTTTTCACGCACAGTCCCATCCCTTCGAGCTTAGCATGCTTACAATTTAGCTGCATCATTTTCTTTATTTTAGTTTATCCTCACATTTTTGTCATTGGGTTTTTTTTCTTTTTACTATTATTCTTTTTTTAATCATTTCATTTCATTAAAATTAATATAATATATTTGACTTAATCAGGTATATAACCCGCAATGCGGATTTTCCTCTTTTTTTTACTGACGCATTTGCAATGAATGAATATTATTTTTATTTTCTTTTTGCTAAAAATATTTTTAACCAGCCTGCGCTAACGCAAGAACTACATAGCTAGTCAATTATTATAAGTTGTTGGAAGATACCACCCACTTGCATATATTAGACACCTTTGATATTTATTTTTTTTGGGTTTACCTCAGCTTAAATGAAAGTTTAAGCTTCCCCACTACACCTCCATCACTTGGTTAACACATGTACATGTTGTCCACCAAACTTAGAAAATTCTCCCTTCAATTCGCCTCCTAATTACTACCAATTGACTGTTTACTCTAGTTGGTTGTTTGATGCCTATGAATATCCAAGTGTGCATGCACGGACGTCGGCTGCCGTCTAGTATAAAGAGGCAAATTGATTTAAGATCACCTTTGCTTGGAAAAGTAAAGGTTCCTTGTATTTGACTTGGAAGCAGTCCCGGTCTTCCCTCCGCTACTCCCTCCCGAAGGCTGTCCTGTTTGCTACTTTAACTCACTCCTGGCGTGTCCTTGTACTATTCTCTTACTTTGACCGAATTTGGTCAGGTCAGCAAGTCACTCTTGGCCACCAAGAGCCTCAAAATTGCCCACCAAGAAAGACGCCTCCTTGGCCTTTCCTATTACTAAACGTGCTCCACTGGATTTTTGTTTTGGATTCCTACTAACCCTTCGAATCTCTTTCGTTAGCTCACACCTCTTACTTTCCAACCACTTGTCACGCAACTTCCTTCTCGAGTACTTGTCCCTTGTATATAACCCACACCATCCCCTCACTCTTAACTCATAAAATTCACTCTTCTTCTATCACAAAAACAAGCTCTCTCTCTCTCTCTCGCTCTCTCTAGAGTTATCAGCAATTCATCACTCCTCTTCTGCTTTCTATATTAAGAAAACGAATCAGATGGCATTAGAAGCTTTAAACTCTCCAACTGCAGCCCCCACATCGTTTCAATTTGAGGATTTAAGCCTCCCCTGCGCGGGAGAGCCATGGGTAAAGCGCAAGCGCTCTAAGCGTCCACGTCTCGACCACCAGCCTACTGAAGAAGAATATCTCGCTCTCTGTCTTGTCATGCTAGCTCGAGGTTCCACCAATCTCCAATTCTCCACTTCAGGCCATCAGAAGTCCCTCACCCCATCAACAGTTTTCACATCTTCCGAGCTAAAAAATAGTTACAAGTGTTCCGTATGCAACAAGGAGTTTCCTTCATACCAAGCCCTAGGCGGTCACAAGGCGAGTCACAGAAAACTAGCTGGAGGCGGCGAAGACCAAACTACTTCCAGTACAACTACTTCTGTCATAACAGCAACAAAAACCGTATCTAACGGAAGCGGTAAGACTCACGAGTGCTCCATCTGCCACAAGACTTTTCCCACTGGACAGGCCTTGGGTGGTCACAAGAGGTGTCACTATGAAGGCATCATAGGAGGCGGCGAAAAGAGTGGTGTCACTTCAACTTCTGAAAGTGCTGGATCTACTAACACTCGCACTCATAGCCACAACGAATTTGACCTCAATATTCCTGCCTTGCCAGAGTTCTCTTCATGTTTCTCTGTATCTGGTGAAGATGAAGTTATGAGCCCTCTACCGGCAGCGAAAAAGCTTCGTATTTCGATGCCACCCAGATTTGTAGTCTCCCAAGCTCAGTAGAAAAATTATAACCTCTGTTAGGCTGTGTTAGGTGATGTCAATTTAGAGATTTATTCCATTGTTTTGACTTTTTTAATTTATTTAATTAATTTTTTTTGTGCATAGAAGTTGGATATTTCAGTTGTAATACTTGAAATTCAATTAATAAGTATCTTATTATCTTAACTTAACTTGTTGGATCTGTTAGTTTAATTTAATTTTCTTTTCAAGTTGCAACGTGTTGGGTTGTTTGTATTTATTTCATACCTTTTGGCATTCACTACCCTAGCGTGCTCGCATCAGCTTTGATGTGTGCGCATAGCTTGACCACCTCATGATGAGTTGCACAGCCGCGTGACCAGCGGAGCAAGTAGTGGTGGCGAGTTCTTTGAAAATTGAGCGTAGTTGTCGGGTCCGGCAAAGTTGTTAGATTTGGTTTTGATGATTAACTTGGAAAAAAATCTACATTACTGTGTTAATAGTCAATTTAAAGATTTTTAGTTGAATATCTCAATTAAAACAAGTTATTCATTTTTTAAAAATCTTTAATATTGAATCGATTGTATTTAAATGCTATCATATTAATATTTTTTAAATTCAATTGAAAATCTGTTTAAATTAAATTTTAATTCATAAAATTTTCAACGCATAGCAAATTTAACATCCATGGTTTGAGGTCCACTTATTACGTGTCATGGGAATATAAAATATTTTCCACGCCAAGCTTGCAATCTAAAAAACATACGGTCCTTATCGCAATTCATGAAGCAGCTAGAAACTAGACAAAACGCGGTGGTTTGCACTGTTGAAACACGTTGGTCTTCTGGTTGTGATAATAAAAGAAAAAATTACAAGGGAATATTAATTTTTATGCGAGTCCAATTAAGCCTGAATAATATTTTATATAATATATACATCTTATTAAATATCTTCGTAAATATTTAGGATATTTATATAATATTTATATTAAATATCTTATAACTTAAATATTTATATAAAAATATATTAAAACTTAGATATTTTAAAGATAATTATCTTTAGAAAGTTTATATAAATGATTTTTTTTAGAAAATAAGAGAGGGGTTATCTCTATTAAAAAAATATAAGATTCAATACGGGTCTAATACAAGATTTAAACAAAGTGTAAAAACCACTTAAATCTAGAAAATACTTATAATTCCCGTCACCTATATAAACATTATACTAACTTAAATATTATATTATTTTTTTAGCAAGTATTGCTGGGCTTACCAAGTCCTTCCAATCTAGTTTTATTAGTCCATTAAAAACATATGATATAGATAAATTATGTTAATTATATGATGAGACATATAATATCATCGAATATCCATATATGCTTATTAATTTTTGAGTATTTATCAGTTTCTTTCTTGAATATATTTATATTTTGTTAAATTAAATTTTATTTGACATGACATTCAAATATTTTGATAATTATATAAATATTTATTGTGTATTGATATCAATCCTGTCATAAACTTCATATTAATAAAGAGCAGTTAGTTTTTGTACACATTGTATTTATATACCTAGCCAGTAATAGAGATATCAACTTATGATAACTAATTATCCCACAGTACTCTGATCTGCAAACCTTAGGGTTTCATCTATTATTTGTTATATGATAGCATGTATTTTATTATCATATTCTAATACTCTTAGTATATATATTTATATCAATATATTCACAACTTACATTCTGTAATGTTTAAGATATATATTAAATGTTATTTTCTCACCGAATTAGTTGAATTCACTCTTTTTTATTGATATTATTTTCAGTTTATTAGTTTTTATTAGTATGTTGATTTGTTGAAAGTTCTTGTTACTTTCTTTGTTGGTATACCTTACTTGCTTTACAAGACTTTTTGTTTAGTATTTTTTTAGTATCATAGATGCTCCACTGCTATATTTCTATATTTAAAGTCTGGATTTTATACTGTAACAAGTATTATGAAGTGTTATTTTTTTTTTAAGGAACATTTAAAAGTTTACAAAATGGTGTGTATTTTGTATAAATGATATATATGTTATAAGACTTGGCATAGATAGGGCATCCCTCACAGCATCGTTTTCACGTTGCCAATCACGGATTTGGAGTTCGAGTCATAAGAGGTTGAATATGTAAAACGAAGAGACTGAAATAGATACAAACATGTATTCAACAATTTTAGTGAAAATCCAAGTTATTTGGCACAAGATTAAAGTTAAGGGGGCGGCGTGGAATGTTTCGTGGATTAATTAATTAACACATACACCACAGTTTTGCATGAAATTCATTGATAATTATTTTGAAATATTAATTAAAAAACTATAATTTCTATTTTTTAAATTTAATTTTTAACTTTTCAAGTTTATACAATGTGAAATACACACTAATTGAACTTTTAATGGAAGATAACAATGTGAAGAAGTCAACTATTCGGGATTATTTCACACCACTAAGGAAGCATGCTTCAAGGGGGGTTTAAGTATTCCCACCTGCCTGTTAATTAATTATTGTGTCATTCTAATCCCAGTTTCCATCAACTTGCTTCATATGCCCCACTTCTGATAGCAGTTCCTGTGGTTTCTATTCGTTGAATCTGTAGCTTTGGGGCTCCAGTGCATGCGTGAGCTATCAGCTATTCACTATCGTGGTCCACTCCAGTCATCTTGTAATAAATTAAACTAACTAATTAATAGTTAGTTGGTCGGCAGACAGAGTAAAGAGGATTAAGAGGGACATAAGCAAATGACTTCATGACTTATATTGAATGATATATAAAAAAGTCTTTCTGAGACCATCAACAGCTCTCGTAGCTCAGTTGGTTAGAGCACCCGTTTAGTAAGCGGGAGGTCTTGAGTTCGACTCTCAACGAGAGCAATGATTTGATATTTTTTGCGCGATAACTAAGTACACGCACCTTCGTTGGATCCAAATAAAATTCTAGTGAACAGAATTGTCAATTTTTTTTTTTTGACATGTAAACAAAAAAATTATGCCATGAAAGTAAAGATTAGGCACCTCCTATTTTTTTTACAAAAATCTGATCTGGGAAGATATTTATGTTATTTGTTTATTATATCCCTTGATGAACCATTGGATTAATTATTTTTATTAAAATAATATTGTTTTTTTCTTAAATTATTGGTTAATCTTTTAATTTTGAAAAATTGATTTATTATTCCTTTGATATGATTGATAACTGGCAGATACAAAAATATCTTATTTAGTGAAGTTGTGGATTCTTTCATAACTAAGCTAGTAATGTTTTAAGATAAAATATAATAATATTATATAAAAATACTTTGAAAATAAATATAAAATAAAAAATAAAAAATTTAAATATTTTATTTAAATTATTCATAATTTATTTATGGCCTATAAATTTTTTAAGGGAGTTGAGGGATTAAAGTGTAATATTACTTAATAATATTGAAATATATATATATATATATATTATAATATTGATGGTAATGTTTTTTATATTAATATTAATGAAAATATAATGTTTTATTAAAAAAATTTATATATATTTAATGAGTATAAGGTAAAATTCAAACTATAAATATAACAAAAAGAAAAAAGAAGAGATATTTTCCTTAACTGAGTCCAGAGAAAAACGGTTACTCGCTTGGTTGAGTTGAGGAAGGTTTTCGAGGGGTGTTTTTAAACAATATAAGTACAAGACCGAGAAGCAATTGAAAATGCATCGATTGACTGTACTGTACGAATCAAGAGAACGCGTTCCAGTCTGGTAGGCAGAGAAAAGTAGAGTAAAATAATCACACACCCATAAGAGAGGAAGATTAAGTCAACCATTGACTTTTTTGGCTTGGAATTTAACTCCATGGCAATTCGTGGCTCTAATTATAAACTGGTCTTTGTTTAACAACCAGCTGAATGGGAAAAATCATAACTTTGATTTTTGTTTTTTACCTGAAATTCTGTACATGTGTTCTTTCAATTCAATAAATAAAAAAATAGAATATAAATTGAGATTTTTTTTGGTCATATAAAAAAAATATTTAAATGTCAATTCCTTCCTTCCTTGTAGGTAATGCATGATGAAAGAATATAGGTACTGAATTTAAATTGAGATGGAATTTGGACGATTAAAAGAAAGTAAATTCAATGAAAAATAACTAAACAAACCTAGTTATTTAAAATAAATTATTTTTCATGCGTTTAATTTTGTTTTATTTATTTATTTAGTTACATAATTAAAAAAGAAGGGACTCAATCAATATAAACAAGCAGAAGATTCCAAAAAAAAAAAAAACTTCAAAAAAATATGATAAAATCCGTTAATTTTATCGAGAGCAAATGTTGAACATCACTCAATGTATTAAAAGTAAAGACTAATGAGGTTGATCATACAGCTAATGAGGCCTTAAAGGAAATACAACAAATCGATTTGCATTTTCAACAAAAACTAAAAAAGGCCCTTTTCATCTGGGCTTGTTCCCAGAGACACAGAGTCCATAAATTCATACATGTTGCTGTTAACCGAGGCCACAAATCAATAAAATTGCGAGTTCACGAAACTTTAAATCAAAATTCACTTCACACACATTAAAAAAAAATTATGGTATTGAGTGAGTAATTAGTGTTGTTCTATTATTTATTTTTTAGAATTTACTTAAAAAATAAAAACCATATAAAAAAGAGAGGAAAGAGGATGTAAAACTCATGATCTATATAAAATTATAAAAATATCTCTATTTAGAATTTTTTTCATAATTATATATTTTTTTTAAAAATCAAGAAAATAACTAATACAACACTACCAATTACTTTATTTACTGAGCACCACAAAATCACTAGACATAAAAAATTTTATGATGCTTATTATCAGATATCTTCATTATATTTTGTATTATTAACAGACTTGTTCCGGAAACAACTTGCAAGGTCTAGGTTATTAGAAAGCTAGATTAACTTAAATTATTTTAAAATGATATTATCCTTAATAAAACAAATGGAAAAAACACTAAAATAAAGTTGATTTGGATGCAATTTTTTTTAAAATGTAAATTTTATATGGACGAGGCTTACACAAGTCTGTCATACTCAATCAACCATGAATTAATCCAAAGGATCATATAGGATTAACTCAATCAATATCCAAAATAGTTAAAAAAATAAATCTCACATGAGCCAACTCCAGGTCACCATCCTCCTACTGCATCGCGTGTAATACCTATACATACCTGCGAATTGTGAAATAATAGTCTCCGGAATACTGAAGCTTGACAGTTCGGTTGAAAGTCAATAGTAGCAATTGAGCTCATGAAGAAAGCTTTCAGTAAAGTGTTTCTTTTCCTTTTCTTTTTAAAATAACTTCCAGTACTTTGATATCAAGTATGAACCAAATATTAATGATTATCCTGGAATCAAACTTGTACTGAAAGTATACAACAATCAGCAGCATTTTGTGTTTTTGGTAGGTTAGTATATAATTTTTTTGAAAGTATTTTTAATTAAAAATATATCAAAATAATAATAATATTTTTAATTTTTGATACCAAAATTATCTAAAAATACTTAAAAAAAACCATTAAATTCTATTACCTTGCTAATGGCACAAAACATTTAAACTGTGGACCAAGTACAAATTCTGTTTTTCCTACCTGGCTAAATTATGAATTAAACATCCTCGATAACTGATCCACAGTTTTCCTCCCAAGCAAACAAGATGGCCTGCTCAGAGCATAAGGCAATGACACAACATGGAAAGCTCCAAATCACTTGATGTTGCTGTCGGTAGAGACCTAGTTCGATTCGTCTTGAAACTCAAAGCATGCATCCAAAAAAAGAGACAAAATCGAGGACAGAAAGATGCATTAGTGCTACGAGCTGAAACTGAAGCTTAGATGCAAGATGCCAATATAGCATGAATGGTGTCTGGGATGAAAGGACTCGTTTCTCCTGTCTTCAACTAAGAGATGTGCCTATGCAAATCTAGCCAAAGGGGTTTGAGAATGCTGTAACTTCGGTTTACTAACAGTGTGTCTATTTTGAGGAAAGGGAATGGAAATGAGAGTAATTAAAAGAAAATTAAGTTAGTTTTTTTATTTCCTCGATCGGATGCTAGAGTCGAGAGATTTTGTTTGGTGTAAAATAATTCACAAGAAAATAATCAACATAAAATAATTTATTGTTGATAAAAATATATACTCTCAACTCATATAATTCTATATAATATCTCAAAAACAATAATCAACTCATAATATTATCCAACTATCTTATCACATTATCTACTCTTTTTTTTCACTTTTTTATTTTTAAAAATGGATTAACAAAATATCAACTAAACAAAGAGGATTGAATTATAAATGGGTTTAAAACGCAAAAATTAAAAATAATTTTTAAAATCATGAGAACTAATTAACTCTAATTTTACTAAATCAAGTAGACTAAATTGTAATTAACACTTCCGGACACCATGTTAAAGAGGTCGAGAGTTTGTGCCTTGATTCAATGGATTCTTTCTTCTCGTCAAAGAACCATCAAGTGAAGCTACGTATCATGGATGATAGGTTAGGCATTTAATCCCAAAAAACACGGTGCTAAAATAATTGTGGGAGTAGACGGTGGTGCTCGCTACAGGGAAGAAATAATTGGGGTAATAGAAGTTCAACTCAACTCAAACTCTCAGCCGAGCCGTGCCCTTTCCATATCGCTGTCTGTCCAACTCTCTGTTGATATCTTCCTAGTGGGCCTACTAAAACAGATTATGTTTATCTCATCTGTGCCGAAAACGAATGTGTTCCATGTATTTAAACACCGTATTTATTCTATTAAAAAAAAGAAAAAGAAAAAATATCATGTATATTATCTTCTTTTTCTGTGCGGTGCATGAAGGATAAAACATAAAGAAACTAGGGTCTTATGAACAAAATGCTAGCAGCATCACCCGAAAGGAGTCTAATCGAACTCGGAGGTGGAGAATCCCAAACCTTACTAGTAGAAATCTGGGAAGCACCAAGCTTATCTAAGAAACCTGCAACATAATTTTCCTTCTCAAAGGGTATGCTGCATACTATCTTACTCCTATACCTGACAAGTTTTTTGGGTCCCGTATGAGCTTAAATTAGGCTAATTAGCAAGGATAATAATTATCTTAAGGAAAAAGAAAAAAAAAAGATTTGGTAAAACAAGGGTCATGTTCTTATTCTTAGGAAGCAAATTGTCCTAATACATTTTAGTTTTTTTTATACCTTGATGTTTTAAATTTTTAAAAAATATATTATATTAATATATTTTTACATAAAAAAATTTAAAAAATAATTACTAAAATCGTAAAATCATCTGAATTGAGAGTATTTGAATGTTCATCCATAATAGATGGAAGGTATATTTGAGCCTGCCATTTTTTCCTCAAAGCGAGAGCTTCATTCGGCCAGAAAATTGAGGGCCTGATTGTGATGGCTTGCATGGAGTTTTTGTGGTCGGTGGGATTTTTATGGATCAATGGTCAGCGGGGAGTTAATAAAATGAACTTTTACATTGAAAACCATCAACTAATTTTTTTTATTGATCTGCTGAATTATCTTATCTATTTTATAATTTTTATGATAATTATCTTTTTCTTATCGCATTAAACATAGTAAATATTTTTCAAAATCCATATTAAATTGCTATTGTAGTTTTTTCTCATTTGTTTTGAAAATGAATGTGTTCCATATATTCAGACACCATGTGCTTATTCTATATATATATATAAAAACATCATGTTTTTTTTTGTCTTACCTCTTATGCCTGGCAAGTTTTGTCGGGGACATGAGCTTAGATTTAGCCTCATTAGCATAAGAAAGAAATGAAAAATAAAGGCAAAGATTAGATAAAATTAAATAAAGGCAAATATTAGATAAAATTAATAGTCATGGGTAATACCATAATAAAAATGATTCTTTCCCTTTTCTTTTCAATTTTAACAATTCAATATATTCTCATGTTAGTTTTTATATATTAAAATTTAGAATAGAGTGTAGATCACATGTCAGTGAATTAATTTAAAAATTTAATTTTTTTTATAAAAATAAAAGTAATTTGTTTGATAATTTTTTTATAAAAATATAAATGAATTTTTAATCAAATCACAAATTAACTTAAGTTTTTAATAATGTTATATCAAGTCAATTAATTCCTATGCTTTTTTATAAAATTTGAATAACTTTAAATTTCAAGTTGGCTGGTACAAACTTGTTTCAATTTAATAATTATATTTAAAAAGCAGATATTTTCAATGATTCTAAATAAATACCAATTGACACTTGAAGCATATATATTTTCTTATAATCTCTTCTAAAAGTCAAATAATGAATTATAATAATACGAAAAGCACAACCACTTAGGACCACCAAGCTAAACATCCGAGCCACAAAAGAAGACATCAATTCCCAGCTCTATCCCACGCTTCCACCTATGGGGCAACTGGACTTTAACTTCGTACCCGTACCTTAAAAAAAACCAACTAAAAGAAAAAACAAAAGCAAGCGGACCCACTTCAATCTGACGACCCAAAACACTCAAAAAAATAAAATCCAATGGCGTACCTTGACTTGTAGAACAAAAGACGCGAAAACACGGAGCCGCTCGTGCCCAGAGTTTGGAAGATATTCGCCTCGACAACCACAAACCCTTCCCGGACCCCACAAATCACTAAAAAATCCCCACCGTTCAATCAGCAAAACCCCTTAACTTAACCGCAGTTTCCTTTTAACTTAACCACTTAACCACACCCCCTCCTTTTGCCCTCTTATACACCTTCACCGCTCCCTAAAGCTCACTTCTTCCCCTCACTTAAAACTAATCCTCTCTTGCTTTATCACCAAGAAAAATATCACCATTTTATTTGATCATCACGAAAAGCATCAAGATCAGTGAGTAATTATATCAGACGGTGGATATGAGCTGCAATGGTTGCCGAGTGCTGCGAAAGGGGTGCAGCGAGACATGCGTATTGAGGTCGTGTCTGCATTGGATCCCCACCCCTGAAGCCCAAGGCAACGCTACCCTGTTTCTAGCTAAGTTTTTTGGCCGCAGTGATCTCATCTCTCTCATCTCCGCCGTTCCCGAGTCCCAACGCCCTGGTATGTATAAACTTATAAACACACCCAAAACCGTATATACACATCTATATATGTAGAAGAGTACAAATTAATTTTACCTTTTCTTTTTGTAGTTTTGTTTCAATCGCTGTTATTCGAGGCGTGCGGGAGAACAGTGAATCCGGTGAACGGAGCGGTGGGGCTATTGTGGAGCGGTAACTGGCACTTGTGTCAGGCGGCTGTCGAGTCAGTGCTTTCTGGTGAAACCTTACGGCCGTTACCTGGAATTCTCACCGGAGTCTTAGCGCAGAATTGTGATGAATCATCTGACAGTTTCTCTGCGGCTGCGTACGCCGTGCATAGCATGACGTGGAATCAATCAAAACCGTTTGATAAGGAGAATAATAATCAAGTGGTGTCTGATCATCATGTGAATCTGTGTCTCGCTAGAGGAAGTGGTGGAAGAGATAAGAGAGGAAGAGATGCGGTGTCGTTTTATACAGGAGGAGAATCGGAGACCACAAGCTTTGAAAGCAGTGGGGCTGATAAGAAAAAACTTTTGAACCTGTTTGTTTGAATAAATAATAAAATGAAGACACAGAGTAAAGGTTTTGTTGTAACCTCTTTTTTTCCTCTATAAATATAATGCCGGAATTTTAATCCGGTGCGTTTTTGGCTGGATATGGACATTTTTCCGGTGTAACTTTGTTTTAGTTTTTTTTAATTATTATTATTGTTTTAGTTAAATTATCGGTTACTCTTTTCTCTTTGTTTTTCGCTTTTATGATAATGATGGTTCATCATGTGTTTATTTATCAATTTGATGTTTTTTTCAATGTATAATCCATCATTCATGGTTATGTTATTTGTAAAATCAACTGAGAATAAGCCTATTAAATTCAATTTGAGAACTAATAGAAAAAGATTTGTGTTATTGAATTAGTTCATCTCAAATTAATTATTTTTTATTAAAATGATAATTTTCTTAATTTTTTTTTAACTTGATCAATAAATAAAAATATTAAAAATTATTTGAATTAAATGGATTTAATATATTTAATATGATTTAATTAAAAAACTTGATTTTGAGTAAGGGTATGGATTCAGATCTAGGATTTAACAAATATCATCTTTATTGATATAACTAAAAAAATAGAATTAATAACATCATTATTGTTAATTAATTTGCCAGTACATGAAAGCGGTGTAGGTCCGGTCCGTAAATATGGAGAAGCGAGGGAGCTTCTCAGAGATAGAGATAAGCTGCTGCTGCTGCTGCTGCTGCTGAGACCCGTGACGGGGGTGGTACCACCTCAGAGGGAGAGGGCCACAGACCTAGACGAACCATGGTTTTTGAATGAAGAGTTCGGTGTGTTGTTCTTAGATTCTACAATGCTATGTTTTCCTTCAAGGATAATGATGAAGTGTTGAAACGCAGATCAAGAGTTGAGAATTTTACACCCGATGGAAGACACTGTCAATTCTAATCAGTTGTGATCTCATGTGTTTTGAAAGATAGCCCACAAATTGAGCTGCCATATGTATGTCACCAAATCAATTTCACAAGAAAGTCATTAAACCCAATTTTAATCATTTATCATGTGTTATACACGAGTTAACTTGAATATATTTTATATTATTTTAAAATAATATTATTTTAATTTTTGTTAATAATAAAATATAATTTATAAAAATCAATATATTTTTGATAATTTAAAATTTGATTAGATTGACTAGCTAAGTTAATTAAATTTAAACGAGTCTATTCTTATTTATTTTAATATAAAACTTAACACGAAACTAGATTTTAGATTATCTAATTATTAGGGTTGACTTATTGGATCTCAGATGATTTATGTGAGTTAATTTAAATTGATATATATTAATTCAAAATAATATTATCTCAAAATTATTTTTTAAAATTAAAATATAATTTTAAAAAAACTGAAAATAGTTTGTTCAGGTGGTAGATTAACTAGCTAAATCAATTGAATTTAAAAAAATTCACTTTAATATAAAACCTAACACAAACCTAATTAAATCGTGTATTGTCAAATTACTAGATTGACTCACTGCACCGGTTAAATTTGACAAAGTTGTCTGCGATGCCTCCCCAGTCCTCGGAGAGAGATGGAGCGGCAAGTCCAAACCAAATAGATGCATATGTAAACAATCATATGTCTAGTTCAGCTATCCTATCCTTGCTAGCTGATAATGTATTGTTCACAGGGATGATTTGATGCTGATAAGGTTCACTGATGACAAATGAGATTATGACGTATTATTATTATTATTATTCCGTAGCCTTGTTAATGTAAATTCGATGTTGGCTTATTATCTCTCTCTCTTTACAGATTTCGAGTATCTCGTTGATTAAGCTTGGGGCAGGAGCTAGGCTAGATGCCAAGTACAACGCAAAAGGAGCATGGACTTCACATGAAGGCAGATGATTTTTGACCCATGGTCTAAAACGAGCCAAGCAGCTGGTAGATGACGAGGGAGCATCATAGAATTACGTTCTTGACATGGGACTGAAAATGGGGGTGAAAAGGATGGGTCCCAGTTGAGATTTTGTGTAGAAAAAAATGGTGCGGTGCACGCCAGCTTCCTCCCCCTAGTCCTCCTCCACTGGAAGTGCGTTCCACGGCATTTTAACACCAAAGAAACTTTTCTTGGCAAAAAGACAGCGTTAGATGACATATATGAAAAGAGAACACAAATAGCAAAAGAAAGCCATTATTATTCCAATCCTTTCGAGTCGCTGCGTCTCATAGCATATGCTGTGGATCCCACCTCATCTCCATCGGATCGCCATTTTAGCATACTTTCCTTCACCGTTCTGTTCTAGCTATCGGAGTTCGGTGATGCAAAAGTAAAGTTAGCAGGCTAAATGCTTCGTACTTGGAGAGAAAAGTGATTATTAATTCATGGACATGAAGGGAATGACGTGAAGCCGAAAGAGACTCTTGAGGAATCTTGCTGAGATCGCATCATAATTCCTTGCTTTCAACATCACTGTATTTTTGACAAACAACATTATAAAAGTCGATCACCTCCTGTTCCATGGCAGGGACTTACTGTTATTTTTATCACTGTGATCTTTTCAAGTAATTTGATAGCTATAAACAGATGGCTCGTGTAGCATGCATGCATGGAGTAATTGAGCCACTGAAGCTTGCTTTGTGATTCCGTGATTAACTCTTCATCGATAAACAAATTCTTCTTTAGAAGCTAACCAAATAAAAGCAATGGAAAAAAGAAACAACTAAAAGAAACAAAAAAATTACGAGATAGGATGATGCGAAAGGGGAATTATGTGTTTTAATATTGCTGTGCAGTGATTTTTAATTAAAAATGTATTTAAATAATGTTTTCTTTTCAATTTTGATATCAATACATTGACATTATAAAAAAAACACTAAAAAAATCAATTTAATTCTATTTAAAATAAAAAATACTTTGAAAATCAAGTTGTAACCCAAAATTAATAATCCTGATGCATGAGGTACTAGCTAAATATATAGGTTGTAACCAACAGCATAAAATTGAATTTGACTAGAGAGTCGTGTAAATAACAATGGTCCCTTTTCATAGAAAGAGAATAACTGCAGAACAGGCCCAGAAAAAGCCTAATATAGCAATGACATCCATTTTCAGGCAATACGCCCAATACACAGTCATTCTTTTCCGATGGTATAATTAAATTTCTTACAACTTCGAATAACAACATTCTTTGTTTCGCTTTTGATTGAGGTCAGTAACTGCTGATCAAGCAAGGATAATAGGTTGGAGATACACAACAGATGGATGTACTGAGAAATAAACTGCAGAGAATCATCGTTGGGACACCTAATGCAACTCACAAGTCACGAATGCACGTAAATAAAACAGTACAAACAAGAACTAAAGAATGGAAAAAAAACCGGAAGAGGAAACCAGGAAAAGAAAGAGATTGAAAATATCATTGTATATATTTACATACGATGAACTCTGCCCTATAGAGAAATACCTAAATACAATCTAAATCTGACTTTGAGATCGACAACTTCGTGCCATCTACGCGTACAAAATAGCTACTTTTTGCTTGTCCATTCAATACTTTCTTAGTTCCTCTCAGTTCCTTGAATCGGAGGATAAAGGGGTTTGATTTGATATTGTTAGCATTAAGGAAGGAGTTAAGTGATTTGAGCTTTTTACACTTGTGTTGTCAGGCTGGAAGGCACTCATTTTAGCTGTAAAATATGACTTTTCAGGCTACATTCTTTTACCTGGCAACATGAACACTTTTAGTTAAAAAGCTAACAGCATTAAAGGTAAAATGCCAAGAGCTACAAGATCAGGATATAGATGGCGCCTCTACTAAGTATAACAAAAGCACTAAAATGAATTTTACTTCCATACCGCCTTCTTAATTCTTTGTAAGAGTAAACCAAACACAATTACCTGCAAGGCTGCAATGGTTGACAATAGATCCTTGCACTGATAAAGCCTATTACACTCCTTCCGACTTGCCTTTTCAAGTTCCACCACCAAAGAGTTCACTTCCTCAACCTATGGTAATGCAAGGATAAATAAACTGTTAACACGTTGACAATGATCGCACAAAGCCATCTTTGGAAGGTTCATAATTCAGCCAACACTAGGTTGTATGCGCACAATAAAAATCAGTCACAACAAAGTGTTTATATTTCCATTTGTGAGTCACCAAGAGAAGATAGTATATCATTTCCAGTAGTAGGCCCCTGGCAAGGCAGAAGGATTTTAATGACAATTCCATAAAATTTAAGGAGCTTCTTTGGGGGGTTAGGGTTTTGAAGGGGTATTCACTGGGAGGCCAACATGGCCAGCTCCAAGCAACAAAATATGCAGTAGCCGCTCTTCATCCTAGAAATCCCTTCCATCTATATCAAGATTAAACTTTAGACCTCTAGCTAAGCACAAACACTGAACTATCTAAAACTTGAAAGAAAAGGGCTTAAACACTGATATACATATATATATATATATATATATATGTGTGTGTGTGTGTGTGTGTGTGTGTGGGGGTGTGTGTGTGTGTGTGTAGGTTTGTTTCTCGTAAAATATGTTTCCATACAATATTTCTCATTTTCTCATGTTGGTTCAATTGGAAAAACTTGGTCAACAGAAAAACATTTACAATCAAAGGGGCAAAAAAGCTTGAAACAAAGGAAGACAACTTACTGTTCTCAAGAGATGAAAATATTTTACCAAATCATCTTTTTCCATATATACCAAAAACCAGACAATCATTTTCAAGGAAATTTTACTTAAAATAGTCAAGCAAAGAAAAATGATATATTTCCAGGAAAATATTTTTTACTTGAATCCAAAAAACAAGTTATTTCACCCGTGACAAACAGAGCATAACATGGCAAAATGTTCACTTATTGATACTGAATAAAATCCAGAAAAGAATGAGTGAAAGAATGAAGGTTAAAAAAGGAAAATGAAAGAGAGGAGTGGGAAGAGGAAAATAATGACCTTGGATAACAGTGTGCAAATTGAGGATGCCATTGCCTGCATCACATCAACCGCTGAACATATAGCATCCTTCAGGTTCTGGACATCTGCCTGTAGAATTACAAATCAAACACGCAATTATCAGAAACCCATCTGAAACCAACATGCCCAAAATGAAAATCACGACAAGGAAAATGGCACATACCCTTGCCCCACCAACAACAGGCAGACGGAGTGTGCTAGCCTGCAAAGCTTCAATGGCTCCTGATAAAG